CTAACTTCCTAAATGTAATCTGTGCAGTGTTTGTACGTGTAGAGCCTCCAGACTTTTATCTTGTTTATTTATTACTTCACTTCTTCTTGGTGGGTGAGTCTTGGAACAACCCTTCATTCCAAGGGAAACATGGTGCCTCTCTGACTGAACAGTTTCAAACTTTCTTCCCTTATCCGACGGGAAACTTTGTTATTCTGCGGTTTTGAATTTTCATATCTCCCCTCGGCTGGCTCAAAATGCCAATGTTGATCATATTTCTGGCTTGTGGATTGAGATTTTTGATAAGCATCACTCTTGACACAAGGATGAAGTTGTATTATATCAGGGAAAGGAAGTAATTAAAGTTATGCCAATGTGGGTGGTCCTTCTCAATACTCTGTGAGCTATCATGGTTACATTGGCAAACTCAAATATTGCTGCATTAATCCCATAGCTGTTCCATACCTACTATTGCATTGTTAGAAGAAGAATTGGGAGGGATGAAACCCTCTTTAATGGTCACACATGCAGAGCACACAGCACACACAGTGAAATTTGGCCTCTGCATTTAACCCATCCTAGTACCAGGAGTCTAGTACTAGGAGCAGTGGGCAGCTATTGTACAGCGCCCAGCGCCTTGTTGTTCTGGATTAAATGTGTTTCCATAGTGCTGTGTTTCCACTTGGCTTGTAAGCATTCATAATCGACAACCTGCACACTTCTCACATCATTTATGGCATTACTGCTTTTGAGAGAACTCCTCCTAGTGTTCACATTTCACAACCACAACTATGATAATATTTCCTTTAGAGAAAGCTGATCCTGAGAAGGTTTCCTCTGTGATGTCAGCAGCCTGTGACTAGTACAGTACCAGTTTTCTTTCAGGCAGCATTGCCAAGCACAACAAGGGACTGATCCCCTGGAGGAAGTGAGAGCATGTCACCATCAGAGCCTGAGAAAGAAGAAGGACGGGAAGCTTTTCCATGGCCTTCCTCTGACAGCCCACATGGAAACAATGGCTCTGGCAGCCCCTCAGTGGTTGTACAGTGTTTGCTCATTCACTTCAGTTTATTATGCTTTTACATTGTGTTTAGGGTGTGATTGGGATTATTATGTTTCCTTTGTAAAAGTGAAAGAAGTCAAGAGAGCTGGTTAAAATCCACTTTCACATTTGACTTCAGTTCATGTACAGGGAGGGATCTTTTTATCTTTATCTATTTAGTCTGTACAAGAGGTCAAGCCCAGTAAACTTTGAGTCTTAACACACCAATTAAAGAGCTTCTCAGCATTATGACCACTTGTATTATGCCGTAAGTATACATGTTGAAGTGAGTGTCTTTGATAATAGTTCAAAGATAGTTCCCTTCTTCTTTTACTCACCCATCTCTTAAGTGTTTGTAACCAGTCTTCTCCGCACATCTGATAGTACGTGGTTTGTTTACCTGGCGATACAAAAGTGCACATTTGATGCTCGCGTGCCATTAGGACAGAGTGACACTCAAGTCATCTGACATCACTGTTGATAAGGAATAACTCCTATACTTCAACTTGACCTTAAATTAAATTGAATTATCAATTAATGTCAGACAATTTGTGTGACGACCAGTGACTACTAATGAGGCAACAGGATAATACCCATTTTTAGAATAATTGTTTTTCTTCACAAAGAAGAACAGTACACCGGACCTATTGCATATCAAGAATTGATAACGCGAGTAATGATAATCGGTAAAAAACACTTTTTGTCATCAGTGGTTGTGTCTTTCTTATTGACATTGTGTTGCCCTTAAAGTATTTATCTTTATACATGTTTTCTCCAAACTCACAGTGTCACTCATTGGTTGAAATATCATGAGAAGTTTTCTCCTGACTTGCTGTTTCAATAAAGCCAACCCCTCTAACTTTCTGTTATTGTTTAATATGCAGGGAAGAAACTCAGACAAGGTGGGAATCCCCAGCTGAAGGTGAAATTGATTTTAGAGACTCAAAAGTGTCTGGCAGTTTAATTAAGACCTCTGTGTTGACGTGTTGTCGATTCAGCCCCAGGGCTTTGAGACGCCAGTTTTCTTTTATTCGTTCACTGACACATTTTAGCATTCAGGTGTCGGTGTATAATAACGTTGAGGAATAGCCAAACAGCGTAACCAGTTTAATACTGAATATTAGGGATGTCCCGATCACCTTTTTTTGCTCCCGATCCGATTCCGATCATTTGATTTTGATAATTTGCCGATACCGATTTTTCCCGATCCGCATTAAGAGAAAAAAAGCATTCAAGTTGTCCCTTACGGTTATTTTTTAATTTAAATTAGATATTCTATCCAACATGGATATAGCTTCTTTTTTTCACAGCAGCATTGGATCAGTTCAGTTGTGCAGCATTGGATCAAAACAAAATAAAGCTTATCAGTACTCGTTAGCTTACTGCTACAATTAGACACTGCGCCCTGCCCACTCTGTTGCCAGATTTGAGAGAAATAAGCAACCAGGTCTATGAAAACAAGCCCCAAAGAAGCAACACATACATGATGTTTTGTAATTTGAAACCAAAACTAAGTCCTCAGGATGACTTTAAGACTTGAACATGGTCATTTTTGTTTTGTAACATTGAATACAAAATTTTAAAAAACTATTAAAAAAAAAAAAAAAAAAAATCCTGATCACCGATTTTTTTCTCCCGATTCCGATCTTTTGAAAATCACGTGATCGGCTCCGATCCCCGATCACGTGATCGGATCGGGACATCTCTACTGAATATTCTGTAAATTGTTCTCAATACTTCATGTAATTTGTGATTCACATGTTTTATGCGATTTCTCCAATGTTATCTCTCAATATAATCCTGCAGTTAGGCTCACAGACCAGTTTAAGCCACACACGTAGTCATAGTCATCGTTTTCTTTCAAATTTGTTATTGCTATTTTATGATATTGTTTTGAGAAATCAAAGCACGTCAGGAATTGCTAATGAAGAAAAAGAGTTCCAACCCAATTGTACATTTCTGGTAGGATATGATGAAGGCGCGAGAAGAGAAATGGTTTCTAGTTGAAATCAAACTGTACTCAGCTACCATTCCTCCACTTATCAAATGAAAGCAATAAGGCCTTATTTGTATTCCATCAGTTTTGGGAAAGTAGTGGTTCTGTGCTGTAGTATATCATTTGTCATTATTGTAGCTCAGAAAAAGTATTCTTGCTCGCTGCAAATTGGAGGACCTTCGTTTCGAGACTCATTCCCTTCAGCTCACCGGTTCATTACATCCAGCTGTCGTCCTTCTTTTGAAAATTGTATCTGTAGTTTCTATCAGGTCTGTGTGTGACTCCAGACAGATCCGATCATTCACTTACTCCTGTCAGGATTGTGACGGTGTGATTGAGTAAAAATAAATATAAAGGAAAAGATTAGAAAGAGATGACCGGCTGCCTGTATTCTATCTGTTCCACCAGGCAACCTTAGTTCGGCACCTTAAGTATTAACAGCAGCTGTATAAATGGATACACAAACTTATCCAAACATCCCTCCTCTCAGGGGAATGTGCTTACTGAATGTATCATCTAGGGTAACATCCAGCCCTACCTTTATTTTTTAAATCAAATAAGGAGTGGTAGATTTTTTTTAGAAAAGAAACCTGAACAGAATGTAAGATGGAAACAGCCGCCAGGAGTTATTTTGAGATGAGAAGCAGAGTGAAGAGCACCAGCAGTGAAAGTGACCCCAACATTTCCATCTTTCTGAGATGACACAATGGAAAATGTGGGAAAGCGGAAGCAAAGGTTCCCTAGTGGGGTTAAAAAAGCAACAAAGGAAGATGTTACCCCTGAGAAGTACAAAGAGTTTCCGTATCCAGCCACACACACATCACGTGGTCCAGAGACATGATAGAACCATGATATCAAGGGGAAAGGGAAGTGAAGGTTTTTTAATGCTGAGGCGAGTGAAGCCAAGCTAAGGACAATCATGATGTCATCGGACAGGAGGTGAAAAAGTCATTTTGGCTTTTTGGTGTAATTTCCTTTAGCATTTTCATTGTTATCATTATTATAGTCAAATGTGGACAGCTTTTCTTGCTGGTATGTGAATTCAATTGTTTCAGCTTTTATATTATATTCAGGCAACATCCAGATTATTTTTTCTGGATCGTAAAAAACATTATGTTCCCTTGTTGTTGTACAACTAAGCATAATTTAAACTACACCAACTGCTAAAACTCCAAAATACCTAATCATACAGTAGCTGTGAAGGAATTGCATTGTAATGCCATTGTGAGGATATGTAATCATTATGTTCTTAGTCTCTTGTGACTTGATTGAAATGTAATACCTCTCTGCTTGAACGCAATGCAATGTGTTACCTGTTTGTATTTAGTCAGCAGAGCACTAGAATAAATATATCACTTATTTTCTTTTGTAATGCCTGTTGTAAAATGCCATTATGTGTTTTTACTGTAGTTATTCCTAAAAAGTATTTTAATTTGTTTTGTAAAGCACTTTGAATTGTCGCGTACAGAAAAGTGCTATATAAATAAACTTGCCTTGCCTTCTTTTAATAGAAATGTGTTGTGACCAGCACAATTTCTGCTTTGACAGGAACACTATATCCAACTATTATACTCTTAAAACCAGTAGCATGATGGAACACTGTTCTCTATGTATGTGTATTACTTTGTCAGGATAGATATCAAGTCTAGTGCTTGTTAATAGGGTTTGTCTGTTCATAGTTATGCTGTGTTTCCTGCACAGGGAATGTTATCATTGTCTTTGTTGCTGTTGGCTCCAAAAGTGAAATGTCCAGGGTTTTACTCGTGCCTTTGTTTCTTCCGCCAACAGAAGCAAGCTTGAACTTACTTAACTCTTTAATATTCCTTATCTTCCGACCTGAACTGGACTGTTTTATCCTTATCCAAAGCTGCTCTAACTATATCATCAACATCAGGGCCACAAGTTAAACTGTAACCTTATATTCAGGAATTGAATGTTGCAGTCAAAACTTATCTGTTGCGTTTTCTTGTTTTGTTTCCACAGTGACTAATAAGAAACCCTCCTGCGTGTCCATCACTAAGGTGAAGCAGTTCCACGGATCTTCTGCTTTCGCAAAAAGGTCACAGTGGACCATCGACCAGCTACGGCAGGTCAACGGCATCGACTCCAATAAAGTATGTCATTTATAGTGCCTTTCAACCGCTATTAATGCAGTTAATATCGCTATGAATTACGCTACTTATTGCTGATACAACATACTTCTTGTGTCCTGCTTTCAACGTTTCTTTTCAATGACTTCCCCCACTCATCTGTCACCCATGTCTCCCTCTTTCTTTCTAAGGACTGTCCAGAGTTTGACCTGATGTTCGAGAATGCTTTTGACCAGTGGGTTGCTTGCTCAGCAGGAGAGAAGTGCACCTTCATCCAAATCCTTCACCACACCTGCCAGCGCTACAGCTCCGCACAGAAACCAGATTTCGTCAACTGTCAGTCCAAACTTTTGGGGGGTAAGACAGTTAAAATAACAACTGCTTACTGTCCTCTGGTAATATTCCTGCTCAGAACACAGTGGCTCTGCTTTGCCAGACTCACTGTCATACTGTGCTGTAAGCCAGTTTGAATCTGATTATGTATGATGACAACCAGCACCTGGTGTTCATGAAAATGCATGCTTATTCCTCGTACACAGCATCTGTTGAGCACTCTGCTGAAGTGAGGTCAACGAGGATGTCCAACAACATTCATCAGCTGTGACTCAAAGCATCTAACACAGATCAACTGGTTTCCAGCCCATTGAAATACTCAATACAGCACTAAACAATAACTTCCCCTAATTTATGTGGTGTTGACACGTTACATTGTGTGCTTGACGTGTGCAGTTTATTATTATTATGATTGGTTTCAACCCTTCAAACTAATCACAGTAAAAGCTCTAACAGACAAGTGAAAACTAACCTCCCACTTAAAAATCATATTAAATTCATGCCCAATTAATAGGTGAAGACAGGCTGATCAAACAAGTTGGAGCACAATTCCCAAATGTTACAAATTGTAAATCCAAAACTGTGTAATTGGTTATTTCCTAGCTGCAATTTTTGTGTTTGTGGCGCAGGAGGTTGAGGGTGGGAGTGCTGGTTTATGGTTTCCTCTACAGTGAATCGCAGTAGGGAACTCAGCATCCCGAGCGGTTTAATCAGATATTGATCTGTTTACCCCCCAACCCTCATCTTTAAACAACATTCAACCATGAGGAATTATTTATGGACCACATTGCCAACCCGTCTCCTGCTGCGTGCTCATCTGCGCCACATAATACAATAGGCAATTACCAGATAGAAAAAATAAAATAAAAATGTTCATTCATGTTTCAAATAGAGTTCTGTAAAAACTAATATATAAAATCACTCATAAGTAGGATGCTCCAATCGCCAATTTTGGGGTCGATCGCCGGAATCAGTATCGGCCGATCCGATCGAGTGGGTGGGGGCTATGGGGATCTTCCATTTAAAGTGATGTTTAAAACTCAGCTAATGGGGCTCATTCACTGGCACTTCCACAAACAACAACCAACATAATTATTACATTCAAATGAAGTACATTATTCAAGTTTACATTAACTTTGGATAATAACACAGGAGAATAAACATTTGTGATTAATTTGCGATTAATCGCGATTAACTATGGACAATCATGCGATTAATAGCGATTAAATATTTTTTAATCGACTGACAGCCCTAATTTAAAGTGATGTTTAAAACTCAGTTAATGGGGCTCATTCACTGGCGCTTCCACAAACAACAACCAACATAATTATTACATTCAAATGAAGTACATTATTCAAGTTTACATTAACTTTGGATAATAACACGGGAGAAATGAGCGGAAGTGTGTTAGGTCTAACTCTCAGTGTGTGTTTTGCTCCGCTCACCGGTCCGTCACAGCGGGTGGAGCTGCATGATTTCTGCTTCACACACGTCGCATACCGCTATCTTACTGTCTTTTTCGGACACCTTAAAAGACTGCCAGACTGGTGAAGCCATTTTGGCGAGCTTGTTTTGCCGCGCACAAAGAAAAGTGTCATGTATTTTACGTCATGTGATCGGCTCTCCCGATCGGAATTTATAGAGAGCACCGATCGATCGGCAGAGAGTGAATATCAGCTGATATCGATCGGCGGCCGATCGATCGGAGCATCCCTACTCATAAGTTATATCGGACTTCCTTTGTTACTTTACTCTTTGTTTGTGTGCGCATACTATAGTATACACTGATTGACGATAAAGCTGCATGTTGTTATGTTTCCTTGACCTCCCTCCTACTCTGAAAACCATGTCTGTGTTTAACATATTTAAACAGACTCTGATGCATATTGTATGTGTAGGTGTTAGGGTAGTGGTCTCCCAGAGAGCTAGGAACACAGTGGTCTTTAGTATAGGATGGATTATAGAGTGCCACCACATGCCTCCAGTATTTCTGAAAATTACACTTGGACTTCCTGTAGCATAATTCTGTACTTAAAATAGCCAACCCTCTGGTTTTGTAGAATCAGCTCCAGTATTTTAGAGCCGTTGACAACATGCTGTAAGTCCATCTGGCTGATGGTCTGATAATGAACTCCTGGCTCTAAGAGAGTAGAGGATAGTGTCTGATAGACTAAAAATTGACAGGTCAGCGGTACATTGTGACAGGAGGAAGAGAGAGGATGCCAGCCCGCTGCCAACTCTGTCCACCCCAGTTTAAGTCTCACACCAGTGCAAAACAAAAATCACGACGCTGCTCAGGTGTGGGACCATAACTGTGGGCGACTCTTATCTGCAGAATCCTCTGGGATGGCAGCCTCCAGAATGACGAAAAAGGTAGACCGTGTATATAACAAGAATTGTGTGCTACCGACACCATTATGAAGTACCCTAGAGGGGACAGCAGGGTTTGCCATTAAAGATGGGGAGCATAAAAATAGTGAACATGATATTAGTTGTCAGTTTCTCTATGTGTGGGAGATATGTCATGACAATGCCATCAGCAGTCTGTCAGCTTAATCTTGCCCTGTTTCCCCATGCTGGTTATAACTACATGAGGTCCTGTCGAATGTGAGTACAAAATTGAGACAGCAGCAATATTATCCTTTCATTACATCCGTGTGTTTACATTTAATCAGAGGGTGTCATCTCAAGTCTCATAAGGTCACATTTATGATGGAGCCAAAAAGGCACCTGATGAATGAATTGAAGGTTTTGGAAGTGTTGATATTCTGATGTAAACAGTATAATTAACACTTAAGATTAAGATGTCTTCGTGAACAGTTTTCTCGGTGAGGGGATACTTTAAACTTCTCTCGAAGCTGTCTAGATGTACAGGCCCATGTATTTAAACCTTGATGGGGCATGTAATTGGTCCAGAAATAAAAGCAGCTAGTTTGCTAATTGCCTTGTTATCAGTGCCAACTTGGGCTGCTGCCCACACTGTAAGACCCTTTTATACCCTTATTTTCACTTGAGCTTCTCTAGCTGACTGGCAAAGTATTCATGAACTGATTCTAAATGAACAGTTAAATATGTGACATAAGTAAATCCTTTTTTTCACTTAGCGTTTTGCAAACCTGTCTCCTAGTGGTTTAAACTAAATGTACATTTTATTATTAGGGAGGATGGATGAATAATCAAACAGTAACCATTTTTATATTATTTTTGACAACTGAAGACACTTAACTTGTGATTTAACATTTCAAAAACAGTAACCCTTCTTGACTCATTTTAAAACGATATCATGTTTTGAACATCAAAACTGACTGTGATGTTTTGATATTTTCCCATCACAGAAGACCAAACTGTAGATTCAGTCATTTTCCGTTGCAAGGTCTATTTCAAAAGAAAGAGGAAAGCATTTGTTGCACACAACGGTCATCTACTAAGACAAGGTAAGCCGGTGGTACAGTATGCAAAAGTACTGGGACCACTGTAAATTTAAAAAAAGTTTTACCCCCCACTAATAAGTTTTGAGTTCCTAAATAAATAAACAAAAAATAAAGTTTCTTTGTTAAACATGTGTATCCCCAACTAACAAATGATAGAACTAATAGAAGTACGTTAATGTTTATAGGAGACGACATTATCTTACAGCGAGCAAATAAAAACTAAAAACAAAAGAACAACCTTCATTTTATATAAAGTAGTCTCAAACAGTTGGAATGTATTAAAAAATTCATTCCACAAATGACCCCAAAGTTGAATTTACATTTTTATAAAACCTTTCTGCTACCTTCTGAACTGAGAGCTCTCCTCTTGGCTCTTGAGGGAATTAACTGTCCTCTGTTGCCATTTATAGACTTATACTGTATTTAACAGAGCTTTCCTCCCTATGTCACTGTTTGTATGTCACTGTGGGGACTGACTACATGCTGAAAGGGATTTTAAAGAAACATCCAAATGTTATGTGAGTTATGTTCACGGTCCTTACCCCTCTCCGTCAGACTGTGCAGAGTCACTGACTAACACTGAGGTAACTCACATAACGTATGAGGGCAGTACAGTGATGAATTGCTTCTTCCCTAATGCTTTCCATAGTATTTTTTACTTTTCTACATCATTTCATACATTAACATTTAAGCTTGTAAGACTTTAATGACCGACATTAAGGCTATTTGATTATTATTATTATTATTATTATTACATTATATGATGCTGACATTTATCTGCTGATTAAATGCACAGAGAAGGCTGCTTGCATGAATAAGGGAAATGAGAATAGAGTAGCTATTTTTCAGCTACACTAGTCAGTATCTAAATGGCTCTGTGGCACATTCAGTACAGAATGTTCCATGTTCCTCCCCATTGGTGTTATTTGTGCTTTTGAACCAGCATGACAGTGACTAAACTAAATAACAACTGAGCAAGCAAGGTCAAGAATTATCCCGTCATGAAATAATGTCAGCGGCTGACTAACCTCCTTGCTTTTCTCTGAGTGGTTAACAAAGAGGGTTTCAGGCTACACATCCACCTCAGTCCAAAGTACATGCGAGTACCTGTAGGACACATAACTACGTTCATAAAAAAATTATTAAATGTAGTTAAAGCAAGGGTCTAACACAATCAGACAAATTAATTGTGATTTATAATAGGATAATTTGAACCTGTGTACTGAATCGCACATTTTAAATAACTATTGACTTTGTGTGGCTCTAATTTAACATGTGACTGACCGATGGTTGTAGCATAATGAAGAAGGCATATTCACAAGGGTTTATAAGGTACATTTTTCACGGGGAGGGAGTGGTATCGGAAAAAGAGGGAAGTGTTTTAATGGCTATATCATTTTGTAAGAACATACAGAAAAGGGGTACTGCCCTGTATAAAAAGTTTGGGAGTGACCATTAAAAAGGAGGAAAGAGAGAATGAACCATATGTAGAGTTTCTGCTGTAAGATGTGGAGAAAAGTGATTGGATAAAAGGCTTTAGAGATTAAATAGGTGTCTGTCAGGAGTGCCAGAGAGTCGCCCCTTCCTGGTTGAATCTCTGCTATAGTTTCATTATGCGGCTGCGGATAATGTCAAGATTTGCATTAATGAAACGGCAGCGGGGGGTTATCTTGCAGTAGGAGCCCCATAGCGCTGTCTTTAGGCCCTTACTGTATGATGTCTATTCCATTAGCCATTTTTTGATTGTCACATTTTATAGTTTATTAAATTGTCAAATAGGAACATACTGTAGGTATTTTGTTTCTTTTTGTAGACTCGCCTTTCTTGTTTTTAATATACAGGAAACTGACACTTGCAAAATAGCGCATTTTCTCACAACATATTCTGTAAAGATAAATAAAAATATATTACTTTGATACTGCTCAGCTATTCCTTACACACTTCCTTACTTGGGTTTTACAGCTGGCCCGTCCTATACTTTTTGATAACACCTAGAAGCAGGAGGAAAGGTTTTATGTTTATTTCGGTAAAACAAATCTTAATTTTGGAACCGCAACATTTGAAATAATTCTATATCAATACATTTTCCCTAAATTAAACCGTACATTTGTATCTTCAATAAAATACATGTCTGTAAAGTACAGTTGACTATCCATTCAAATCAAATTGATTAATTATTTTGCCTATTTTGCCTCTTTGTTCTATGTTGTCTCCTAATTGGCAAAGGGAAAAGTAAGTGATTTAAATGTCTCATAATAGCAAACACTTTGAAAACAAGGTCATGGTTGAAAATAACAGAAATGACTGAGTACTTGAGTCAAGAGGCTCTTTATATGTAGTTACAGAACTTAGAGAAATCCTTGACAGAATCCTTCATAAGTTCTTTGGATGAATAGCGGCAGCCTCAAGCCCTCTGGTAATATCAGAATGATAAGGAGAATGTTTGATGTTACTTGTTGAAGTGCAGATAAGTGTGTGCTCGCGAATACTTAAAATAAATGATTGTGCGACTCTCTCTCCCTTCCTACACCCACAGCGTTATCCTAGCACACTGATAATATGATGTCTGCCAAATGAAAATGTTAAAGCCACTGCAGCATCATTTTATATGAATGGATCTCTTTGTGTTATTAAGTTGAATCTCTAATTAACCCAATATGCCTTAAAAATACATTGTTCTTGGCTGTCGGCACCTTGAGAAGTTTATCTGACATGCTCGAGTTGATAACCATCAATTATTTTCTTATTTCCAAAGCTGCCTGTTATCTGAGCTGGAAAAGGAAGGGTTAACTTTGAACGATCTCTCCCCTTCCTTGTTATGTTCGTCTTTGCACATAGTTTCTATTTTCTGGAAAATGTTGTTGCCAGAAAACAACTTGTTCAGTCTCCATTGTTAAAGAAACCCTGGCTTGACATAATATCATGGGGTATAGCAACACAATTCCTCCTGCATTGTTGAGCGAGGCGTGCCATGGATGTACTAGGATTGGCCTGTACTGTTCTATAGCTTATTCCAAATCCACAATGTAAAATGCCAAAATCATCATAAAAAGCCTCTGTTTGAGATATACCTTTGCAACATCAGGGTCCTGCATCATTAAAATGACTGTAATAACACCCGATAAGCTCCTCTGTAACATAAAAGAACTGCTGTTATCCCCACTGATAACATAAGCGCTAAGGCTCCCAGCGCTGGCACCACATAACATAATGTACTCCTACATCTTTCATTCTGCTCCTGATGCTGCAGCCCCTTCATGCTTCTCAAGAATGTCTCCACCCTGTGTTTTACTGTAATTACGTTCTCCACTGGGGGAGCCCACGCTGCAGCCCACCCCTCTTCTTAGGAGAAGAGAGGGAATGAGAAAGACCAGACCAGAGAGAGGAAGAATTGTGTGCAGGAAATTAAAGGGAGATGTTCTCTGAGTGGATGGTGTGGAGGGGCTGTCAGAGGGTTATATTGAAGATGATGGTAGAATTACTCCCTGGGCTCTTCCGAGGAGGAGAGGATTAAGAGGAATCCCTCTGAAGGTGAAAAGGTCTTATCCTTTCTAGTGAGGACCTAAAGTTTTCCAGTGAAAGTGTTTCTTTTCCTAAATAAAAGCCTGAAGGAATGTGTTTTAAGCCTATGTAAACCAGAGTCCACTTTTGCTCCTGTCTGCCATCCACTGAACATACAGTAAAACACTTGCTATAGAGAAGTAACTCATACAACCCCATGTAAAAAAAGTATAACCTTCATGTTGTAGCCGTGGACTGTTAAGTTCTTGTTTGCAGCTGTAGACAGATACAATATAAACCTTTTAACCACATGAAAAAATAAATCCTGACTGGTTTGAAGCTTTTATGTTACGGGTCCAGATGTGGGATGTGGGATGCATTCTGTAGTTATTTGACTTTAATCCCTTGGAACTTGACCATAAAAAAAGCCTTTTGCTTGTGTTTCCTCCTTTCTATCCTTTTTGTTATTCATAGCTGTGGGGATGAACAACTATACATCCATCTGTGTGTGCAGCACAGGTGTGTCTCTACGTAAACAGCTCTGACTTTATCAAATGAACTTCTGTTGGAGCAACAGCAGCTGCTCGGGCTGTCATTACACCCACTGCAGTCGAGTCGTCCCAATTATCTGTCACTCAGCCTACCTGCCTTCATGCCACGGGACACACACTCACTGTCTAGCAGTTTCCTGTGGGAGCAGATAGAATCAGGCTTGTCAAGTCTTAATACAGTCGCTACCTTCTCCCTCCGTCTGTTCCTTCTCCTCTAACTCATTTACTGTATATCCAGGGATATAGACCTTGGAAAATCGAATCTAGCTTTTCCTTCTGCTGGGTGTTTGTTGTGTTTTTCTTTATTATTATTATTCACTTTTTAAAGTTAGCTAAAGAGTGAATGTTCCTTGAGGGGCTGGGATGGTCCTCACTAAATCAATTCCCTAAATATAAAAAAAGGCATAATAATAATTGTACTGTTACATTCTAAACCCTGAGGTGGCGCAACAACGTTTTATAAAAAAAAAAGGCTTGTCAGGACCTTGCTACCACATATGGAAATGTTTGGTCAATGAAAAGTAGCAGTTCACATGAACAATAGGTGACGCATTTAAAACAAAGGCAATTTTTTTCCAATACTGGCCTGGTGCATGTGACAGATTATACCCCACTTGAACAATACAACTGTATTGCCGACAAAAATAAAGCAGCAGAAATATGTGCTGCTCGAAGTCCGTGCGTTAGCGTAGCACATAACAGCATCACTCCCGATGTGCTGTAGATTGATAAGTTGTCAGCGGAAACATCCGCAGGGCTAACGCTGCTATAGAAAGATATGTTCTCACTCTTATATCCAGCACTGGGTCTCCGGGGCTGCCCATGCAGCCAAGCACATCTCCTCTCTTTATTAGTTCAGAGGAGAGTAACCGCAGAGCTGACAGCACAGGTTCAAAATTGAGGAAAAGCAATGCAGGATGTCATAACGAATAAAATGCTGTGTTGCCGTTGCGTACTTTGAAGTTTGAAAAGGTTAATTTCACTTGATCTTTCCCTGAAGTAAATCAACTTTGAAGGAAAGCCATTAGCCAACTTCCCACGTTGCACCTGGTGAAAGCCATTCACTTTTTGTCTTCTACCATTAACACTAATGCTCAAGGTCACTGATTCAACTACACGCATCTAATGTCACAGGTTAATTTGTTGTCTACTTCATGTTATTATTCAACAGAGGATTCACAATTTGTCCTTTCTCTCCTTCTCTTGTGTGCCTCTCTTCCGTCCGGCTGTTATCTGCAGGTAACAGCATACTGCACTCGGCTGCGGACAGTGTGACGAGTGCCGTACAGAAGGCGAGTCAGGCTCTGAACGAGCGCGGCGAGCGATTAGGCCGGGCGGAGGAGAGGACCGCGGACATGATGAACAGTGCTGAACAGTTCTCTGTTACTGCACAGAAGGTGAGGAAATATGTTAGCAAGACGCATTACAATTCATAACCTCAGGGTAGGCTTGCTTTAATGCAGCGCGTTGAAATTCTGAATTAGTTATGGAATGTTTTGGAACATCTAGTAAAAATGTTAAAGTCATTATTAATTCAGCCAAAATAATACATATTACTTCAACCTGAGGATATTTGTAAGAGTTGCCTCATAGTGACTTCAGCTTTCTCTGCTCGGGGAAACATAATAATCTTTTTCTTCTTCTCATTAACTCTGTTTGGTAGTGGGGGCTCCCTCATCCTCCATCCATCCCACATCTCTTGTTTGTCATGAAAACTAATTGCATGCTCTATAATGACGCTATTAGCATAATCTCCTTTTTTTCCCCTGCAAAAAAAACGAAAAAATGGTTAGCTTTGTAACGAGTGCACCTGATAGCGATCATCATAACTGTCTCTGTAATAGCACGCAGTATATCACACAACCCTGGGTTTGCAGTCATGTTGTGAATGGAGAGCCTTCACTGAGACATGTGCCATTTAAAGTGGAATATCAATAACTTTAGTAGAGCCATCCATTGCTTATTTTGAACACGCTGGTGGTATAATTGAAAGACATTTGCCTTACAAGGCCCTCAGACTGCTCAGAGACGAGCTTTCCCGCCGCGATGAATTTCTGAAACTGTGATAAGCAAAGAAAAAGAACCCGACTCTGGTGGTTTCTGTAGAAAATGAGTGTAGAACCCCCATGAAGAATGACTCATTTTCTGCCATTTCTCATTTCATTTTATACCATTAGCTTTTATATTTGTTTTGTGTTATGATGTATCATTCGTTTGGCACACTATTATCAAGTCTCAGAGCTCTGCATGTCTGAAGCAAAGGCAGAAAGGCCTTACAGATGGATAAAGAAGTGGTGGAATCAACAGCTTTTTTTTTACCTCTTTGAATGGCTTTAACATCCTACTGCATGCGTTGTAAGAATCTTGAAATGATAAGTGTCTGCAGCTTCATCTCGCCACACTGCTCAGTTTAAAAAAAGACCCTTCTTTTCTGCCTGCTGCTCTACTGCCCCCACTTGTTCAACTAGCACATTTCAGTTCTTCTTTTTCCATAGCAACATACCCCATGCTGTAGTCTGTGTGTGTGCATGTGTGTGTATTCCTTCCTCACGTCAACACCCCATAGCTTTGTATTCGATTTGTTTCCTTGGTCATCTCTCTAACGAGCCTCCAGCCAAGCCATTAGAGCCCTTGTTAATGAGATGAATTCAGTTGCCTTGTCATTGCCTGAATAGAAAAACACCATAACCAGCGTCATTATAAACCCCTCCTAACAGCTTGTTCTCCTTTGTGGAAGTATTCTAATTAAGTCAGATCTATACTGTACCACATTTTACTCACTGTGCTTACTTTTCCCTGCATTACATCTACACTACCTTTGCTTTCTATAGCTGGGTAGCATTTTGCTGATAGGATTATACAAATTCTCATTGTATTATCCCCCAACCCCCACCCTAATTTGTTCTACAGCTTGCCATGAAGCACAAGTGTTAGACCACTGCCGAAACCAACTGGTCACCAATTGCCAGTCGCTGTACAGGAGAAGGATTCCAGATTTTATTATTTTTAATAGATTTAATATGATTACTATTTGTTAACAATGTTAACATTTTAATGTTTTGGGTTGTTGAATTCTGGTACATCATCTGACGGCGACACATCTCGCTGGGGGGAGGAACAGAGGTAACCAACGCTACTTCAGACTGTCAGCCGAATGTTTCGTGCTCCTGTTTGCCAAATGTATTCACAAGACTATGACAGTCTTAACCACGGCCAATCAAAACACTTCCCCTCTTCATATGCTCACACACTCCTGTGAGAGTCAACATGCATCATTATCAGCAATCACTCAAATACCAGGAACAGCTTGTATCGCTGGGTATTAATTGGTGAGAATTATTTATGAGCACTGCAGTGATTATGCAGCCGCTGTCATTGGTTTGTGACTGGATTGGTTGACTGTGAACACACAAAACATATATAAAAAACACATACATACCTGAAGATTTTCTTGTCTGATGCTTACTGTAGATTGTAACCAGGTAAATAATTTGACGATGCATTAGGTAGGATGTGATGTCAGGTAGAAGGAATAATCACATCTGTGGAGAAAAAGAACTCCACCCTGAACAACCAAAAAATCCCAAAGTATTTATTTTCAACAATGTTTTATTCTCTTTCGTCGACATTCGGACATTGCAGTATTTTGCTCTGTTTTGCTCTCAATCATTTCAAAATGTATCACAACAGTATTAGTCCAAATGTTTTCAACATATTGTTTCATAAACTGCACATGACACGGCTTGGATGGGTTTGTGTCTATAACGATAAATGACAACAGTGAAATAGTGAAGTCCTCTGTCTACCATTCCAAAACAACCAAAACTACATGTAATAAAGTTCCTAACTTATTTGGGAGTGTACTTGAAGAACTCTGTCTGGAAAAAAGCTTTTTTTAATTATAATAATTTATGTTGAATTCAGTAAACCAGCTTCTGCATTGTATAAAGCAACATAAGGAATATCTTCTATTACTATTATCTAGGTGTCTGTGGAGCTAATTGGTCCTATTACCATGGGATCTTATAAATGACTCTTGGCTGTATTTCAACTTTAATCATTCAGTAGTCATTTCTTTATCTATTTTTTATAATTTGGGTCGGTTAATAAAAAGCTGATAGATAACGGTCAAAATGTCTCAAATAGCAGCATCAGTGTGTAGTAGTTTATTTGTTGCCAGTGCTCTCACGCTAACGGTAACCTTGGCTTTCTCACTTGCAAGATACTGCCCTCACAATCGAGATGTATTTGATTTCTTTTCTGAATATTTTATAATTCTGTTGGTGTGCTTTTGTTCCTCTCAAACATTTTGGATGTTTATTATTTGATAAAATAAATATTTTATAATGTTGTCAGTGTCTTTTTTTTATAACCAGCGCTCACATTTCCATAAAATAATGGAATCAGACGCTGTACCTTTTATTTCGTTGGGTTTCTTTGTGGTTGTTGTTGCATTTTGTGTTTCATGCATGGATTTTCTCTTGTCATGAACAACAAGCTGCCAAAACCTTAACGTGTCTAAAGGCTCGTTTTCTCTGTCTGATGTAGTCTCACGTCATGCTTAAACAATACTCATATGTCAGTGATTCATTCTCTATACTGTTTATTGTGTAATAAAGTCAGATGCCCAATCCAAATACAATGGTTCGTTATTAGTGCTGTTTGCTTTGAATGACTCACCTACGTTTGTATTTCAGTGTTAATATTGTTCTTGCCTCGTCTGGAAAACCAAGGTCAAACCGGTTTAAGGTTTGGTTGTCATTTCAATGAAATAATGCCTCTTGTGTTATGTCTAGAGGAGAATGATGCACAATATGTTCAAGTTGGATGGTCATGCTTGGTCAAATTCTGTGCACCTAAATACTATTGTTTCACTGATGATGTGTTTTCTCTTAATTATGGAAATAATAATCGAAACACTCTGTTCTTTTCACATCTGACTTATTACTCATCACTGTATTTGCACTGCAGTAATACTTTGTGAGCAGCCAGTGAGCTTGTCCTGTTTCCCCAGGAGATGGCAATGTAAAGCAGTAAGTCTTAATTGCTCACTTTCTCCTCTGTCCAGGCTGCAGTAAATACTGTACATTAAACCAAAGCCCCACAATGACACCCTACACATTATTGGAACCTGTTACTGTCCCAAATAGATTGATATGTCATTTAAAAGAAGAAGGGAAGTTGGTTAGAACTGATGAAGTTAAGATTTGTCTACATCAGTAATGCTTGTTGGCAGGAAAAAACAACTCTTTGAATAGTTTCGAATAAACCAATGATTCTGATTTCTTCATATGAATACGTCTATAGAAGTGTTTGTGAAATTGAATTTGTGTATGACCTTTATGAGGTTATCATATTATATAGTTGTGACCAAGTTGAGTTTGCTGCTCCTATGATCATGTGAGCCATGAGCAATTGAGCCAAAAAACAGATGACTTAAATAACCTCCATTCTCCAAATCATTTTTCTTTTCAAAGATTGCGAATTTATATTGTAATACCAATCCAAGAAAACATTTTTTATTTCATTTTCACACATTCCTCAACAGCTATCGTCTTACTTTGCAATTGAAAAAAGTATACATGCAGCACAAATGTAGTTTAAGATAATGCAAACAATTACATAGCAAAGCACCCTGAGCTTTTAACCCATCCACTGTATGGAATATAGAAAGAAAGGTGAATCCTAATGAAGACATTGCAGAGTCAAGTGAGCAGAAATCAAATGTATCAAAATATATGTTATCTTCTCCCTCCTTGGCGCCTCTTAATAGTATTTTAATCTTCCAATTAATGATGCGGCCCGTTCTGACAAGCAGAAGGGCAGCAAGCGTGGTGGCAATGTTGAAATGCATGATGTATAGGTTATAGTGGTGCAGAGGGGAGGAAGTAAGTACCTCATAAAAGCCCTGGTGCAGGACTCTGCTACCATTACTCACTCTGCCAAATCCTGTGAATCATTCCTGGCTCTTCTAATCGTTAAGCTCTCCTCTCTCTTTCCCTCCCAACTTAACACTGAGGTCCCAAAAGTGTCTTCTTTGCTCCTAAACTTCAGCACACACATCCCATCTTATTTCTTAACACCTGGAAGTGTTTTCTGTCCGATTGTGACCCTAGATCATGCTGGAGTGCTGGAATAAAACATATTCTACCTTTTAACGTAACATGTACATACAGTTGAAGTCCCCTTATTCACCACTGGAGGGGGCACTAACCTTGTACGAAGATTCCTCTGTCTCACGTCTTACCTTTGTCAGCTTGTTTTATTGCCCAGTGGTTTATTGATTAGTAGAACTGATTATTACTGTGTAATTTCAGTGTCATGTACACATTGATCGCAGCTTGAGGGCAGGAATTAGGGGCTGATTGAAAGCTGTTCTGTGTCAGTAATTGCTTCAGCGACTTTCTTGACAGGGGCTTGAGTTACGGCAGTAAAGAGCAAGTGAGCCATCAAACATTTATCCAACCAAGATTATAAGAAAGTATTATTTTTGAGATATCCTATTGATGTTCTTCTACTGTATATTAGAAATACCTGTCAGTGTTGTCTGGTCAGTTTTGTCAATGTTCAAAGACCATACCAAAAGGATTGTAGGATTGAGTGACATCTAGCGGGGAGATTGCAGATTACAACCAACTGAATACTCCTCTGATCACCCTTTCTTTTTCAATAATGATTGGAAAACGAAGATGCCTTCAGTAAAAATATACAATGTCCCACTAGATTCAATGTAAGGTCTGTCTGTTCTGGGATTTTGTGGATATATGGCGGTTCAACATGGGAGACTCTGTAGTCCAAATAAAGGGCTTGTTCTACACACTTTATGTAAAATCACAAGCAAAACTCCAGCAACACTTTACTTAAGAAGGCATTCCTAAAATGTGCCCAGTGTATAAAGAAGATATCTATTTTAATAGATAGTTACTATCAATATAAAAATCACATAGTTGAATTATCACAGCACTCTAGCATACATACTATTTTAATTTATCTGGACACATTTAGCTAATGTTTTCTGTTCTACTGTATTACTCTAACAACAGTGCTTTTTTCCAACATTCATAACAATTAATCACTAACTATTTATGTCAAATAAAGTGGGGTCTTAAGTAACAAAAGTAAAAGTATCTCACAACTCAGCACTACTTTATCTAATGTACTACACTGCATATCATTTTTAATTCAAACGTATCTCAACACTTATTCTCACATGCAGATGGGACACTGGTGTGGTTGACATCCTGCAGGGTCTTCTTATTACTTGAATGATCTCAGCATAAATCCAGAGAACGTGTCTGGTCAGGTGTCACCTTGAGATGCATTGACATTCCTGTCAGCAGGGGAGTGTGTGTGTCCCCCGGAGAGACTCGGTGGCTTCCTGACTCCCTGACTGGCTGCCCCGGCCCCTCAGGGCAACTCCTTTTCTAATCTGCCGAACCCCCCACATCTCCACAGGAGTAATTACAAGTTACAGCCTGAGGTGAGAAGGCTGAATGAAATGGGACTGTACTTCTATTTCTCATTATCACATACAAATCTCTGCAATGATTCCTGAGTAGTCCTATTAGTCGGGACTGGATCTCCCCCCAAAGTCAAAGAATAATAACTGCGGCAGGATATTGCCAGTGTCCCTGAGGCATTCTGGAAAATTGTGACTAAGAGAAATGTTGTATAACGGTGAGAAAAAAGTGCTCCTAAACTTTTTACATTGGTTGGTTTTGGGTGCTATGTGCCAAATGAAATCTCTCTAACCATTGTAAAATATGAGGGTGCCCGGAGATGACCCTTGCTATTACTTTTTCAAGTTAACTTTTATATTAAAAATGAATGATGGATTTATTTAAAAAAGGAACGCATTAAACTATAACTTCATTAAGGCTAAAATTGATTTGACATTTATATGCCTTAGTAGAGTTAATGCCCCATAACATTAGACAGTATATTTCTTTTCATCAATGTATTCAGAAAGCTGACTCAACTTTCCAATTTAAATGTGATAAATTATAAAATGTACATACTACTTAATTTAATATTATAGCCTTTCCATTAACTTTACTATGGGAGGTGGCTTTATGCCTCAACATACCGGTATTTCTGTGCACTCTTTTCCATAAAGCATTTATTTAAACTCTTAACACTCTACCCACTGTTTTTAGTTGCTTTGCACCTACACTGCTAAATTACCACCTCAGCTGTATTGCTTCAACTTGTGCCTCTGCTGCAGCTCATGTTACCCTTCATGTGCGTGCTCACCTGCCTACGATGTCATCATGTTTCCCCAGGTTGGCTATGTGGAAGAAATACCGTCTATCTACCTGTCTCTATTGGTCTCCAATGTGACGTTTAATCCAAAAGTAGAGGTCTTAGTGGGAATGAGTTGATGTCTGTGCTATTTTGGTAGCATTTTTGTGCTTGGTTTGCACTCTGAGCTAAGGTTATGAGGCTGCTGTTTTATTGCTGTCCTGCTGCTCTGCTTGTGCTCGACGTCGTGTTGTCTGCTGGCTATTTCTGCTTTCATGCTGCTGCCCTTCATCGTTATACTATACTTTAATTGTAAATGTATGTTTTCTATATTATGGGATTTGTGTGGCTGTATGGCATTTTTCTGCTTTTCATTCATTCATTCATTTAAATGACCCCACTTCTTTGCAAATAATAATGCTGCAAACCCTTGCTGGTGTGATGTTGTGTGAGCTGCTATTTGCCAGTCAATACAGAATCTTAGTTTATTTTAATTTATTTTAATTGATGTATACATAAACATAATTCCACTGCACAAATTACAAAATTATACCTATAGATATATAACTAAAGAAGTATTGCCAGAAATAAACAAATAGTGTAAACTACAGTATGTTAACTGCTATATCAAAGAATTGAACATTTTAGAGGCATTTTCCATAATTAATCTGAATATTCAAACAACAACAATCCATTTAACAGCAATACAAATTAAGAATGTGTTTGTTGAAACTCCAACAGTTGATTCTGTAGTGGAGTAATTGTAAAAACTGAAGCTATGTCTTACACATACAAAAGGTTAGACAACAAGATGGTGAAGACTGCCTCATCTAATGCAAATTGAGCATTAATATGCAGAGTAATGACGCACTTTGTATCATGGCTGAGCTATTGATAGTCACATGGCCCCAACAAGAGCTACAGTACATCTCACAGACAGGCACAGAGTCAGCACATGAGATGCTGAGTTAATAAAGTGTACCTTCCCTCAATCACACAGCGGTCCAGTGTGACGTCAGTTACCAGAGGTAATTAGAGTTTTATGTAAGGAGGAAGCAGGGAGTGACGGTGTAGCTTGGGAAGTCACCTCGGCGCCCCGCCCACAGTGAC